GTGAAGTTTTTTTTCGAGGGATGGTTTCCGAGAAGTGAAGTTCTTTTTCGAGGGATGGTTACGCGAGAAGTGAGTTTTTTTTCGAGGGAATGGTTACCCGAGAGTGAAGTTTTTTAGAGGGATGAGTTACCCGAAGAAGTGAAGTTTCTTTTTTCGAGGGGGGTTACCCGAGAAGTTTGAAGTTTTTTTTCGAGGGATGGTTACCCGAGAAGTGAAAGTTTTTTCGAGGGATGGTTACCCGAGAAGTGAAGTTTTTTTTCGAGGGATGGTTACCCGAGAAGTGAATTTTTTTCGAGGGATGGGTTACCCGAGAAGTGAAGTTTTTTTCGAGGGATGGTTTACCCGAGAACGGAAGTTCTTTTTCGAGGGATGGTTACAGAGAGTTGAAGTTTTTTTTTCGAAGGGATGGTTACCGAGAAGTGAAGTTTTTTTCGAGGGATGGTTACCCGAGAGTGAAGTTTTTTTTCGAGGATGGTTACCCGAGAAAGTGAAGTTCTTTTCGAGGATGGTTACCCAGAGTGAAGTTTTTTTTCGAGGGATGGTTACCCGAGAAGTGAAGTTTTTTCGAGGGATGGTTACCCGACGAAGTTTTTTTTTTCGAGGGATGGTTACCGAGAAGTGAAGTTCTTTTTTCGAGGGATGGTTTACCCGAGAAGTGAAGTTCTTTTTCGAGAGGATGGTTACCCGAGAGTGAAAGTTCCTTTTTCGAGGGATGGTTACCGGAGAGTGAAGTTCTTTTTCGAGGATGGTTACCCGAGAAGTGAAGTTTTTTTCGAGGATGGTTACCCGAGAAAGTGAAGTTTTTTTTCGAGGGATGGTTACCCGAGAAGTGGAAGTTCTTTTTCGAGGGATGGTTACCCGAGAAGTGAAGTTCTTTTTCGAGGATGGTTACCGAGAAGTGAAGTTCTTTTTCGAGGGATGGTTACCCGAGAAGTGAAGTTTTTTTTCGAGGATGGTTACCGAGAAGTGAGAGGGATGGTTTTCCCGAGGTTGAAAGTTTCGAGAAGTGAAGTTTTTTTCGGAGGGATGGTTTTACCGAGAAGTGAATTTTTTTTTTCGGAGGGATGGTTTACCCGAGAAGTGAATTTTTTTTCGAGGATGGTTACCCGAGAAGTGAAATTTTTTTCGAGGCGATGAAGTGGTTTTTCGAGGATGGTTACCCGAGAAGTGTTTTTTTTTTTCGAGGGATGTTTACCCGAGAAGTGAAGTTTTTTTCGAGGGATGGTTACCCGAGAAGTGAAGTTCTTTTTCGAGGATGGTTACCCGAGAAGTGAAGTTTTTTTTTCGAGGGATGGTTACCCGAGAAGTGAAGTTTTTTTCGAGGGATGGTTACCCGAGAAGTGAAGTTTTTTTCGAGGGATGGTTACCCGAGAAGTGAAGTTTTTTTCGAGGGATGGTTACCCGAGAAGTGAAGTTTTTTTTCGAGGGATGGTTACCCGAGAAGTGAAGTTTTTTTTCGAGGGATGGTTACCCGAGAAGTGAAGTTTTTTTCGAGGGATGGTTACCCGAGAAGTGAAGTTTTTTTCGAGGGATGGTTACCCGAGAAGTGAAGTTTTTTTCGAGGGATGGTTACCCTTTTTCGAGGGATGGTTACCCGAGAAGTGAATTTTTTTCGAGGATGGTTACCCGAGAAGTTTTTTTTCGAGGGATGGTTTACCCGAGAAGTGAAGTTTTTTTCGAGGGATGGTTACCCGAGAAGTGAAGTTTTTTTTCGAGGGATGGTTACCCGAGAAGTGAAGTTTTTTTTCGAGGATGGTTTGAAGTTTTTTTCGAGGATGGTTACCCGAGAAGTGAAGTTTTTTTTCGAGGGATGGTTTTTTACCGAGAAGTGAAGTTCTTTTTCGAGGGATGGTTACCGAGAAGTGAAGTTTTTTTCGAGGGATGGTTACCCGAGAAGTGAAGTTCTTTTTCGAGGGATGGTTACCCGAGAAGTGAAGTTTTTTCGAGTGGTTTACCCGAGAAGTGAAGTTTTTTTTCGAGGGATGGTTACCCGAGAAGTGAAGTTTTTTTCGAGGGATGGTTACCCGAGAAGTGAAGTTTTTTTCGAGGGATGGTTACCCGAGAAGTGAAGTTTTTTTTCGAGGGACCCGAGAAGTGAAGTTTTTTTCGACCCGAGAAGTGAAGTTTTTTTCGAGGGATGGTTACCCGAGAAGTTTTTTTCGAGGGATGGTTACCCGAGAAGTGAAGTTTTTTTCGAGGGATGTTTACCCGAGAAGTGAAGTTTTTTTCGAGGGATGGTTACCCGAGAAGTGAAGTTTTTTTTCGAGGGATGGTTTACCCGAGAAGTGAAAGTTTTTTTCGAGGTGGTTACCCGAGAAGTGAAGTTCTTTTCGAGGGATGGTTACCCGAGAAGTGAAGTTTTTTTTCGAGGGATGGTTTACCCGAGAAGTGAAGTTCTTTTCGAGGGATGGTTACCCGAGAAGTGAAGTTCTTTTTCGAGGGATGGTTACCCGAGAAGTGAAGTTTTTTTCGAGGGATGGTTACCCGTGACCCGAGAAGTGAAGTTTTTTTCGAGGGATGTTTACCCGAGAAGTGAAGTTTTTTTTCGAGGGATGGTTACCGAGTTTTTTTTCGAGGATGGTTACCGAGAAGTGAAGTTTTTTCGAGGGGGATGGTTACCCGAGAAGTTGAAGTTTTTTCGAGGGATGGTTACCCGAGAAGTGAAGTTTTTTTCGAGGGATGGTTACCCGAGAAGTGAAGTTTTTTTTCGAGGGATGGTTACCCGAGAAGTGAAGTTTTTTTCGAGGGATGGTTACCCGAAGTGAAGTTTTTTTCGAGGATGGTTACCCGAGAAGTGAAGTTTTTTTCGAGGGATTTACCGAGAAGTCGAGGGATGGTTACCCGAGAGTGAAGTTTTTTTTCGAGGATGGTTACCCGAGAAGTGAAGTTTTTTCAGGGATGGTTACCCGAGAAGTGAGTTTTTTTTCGAGGGATGGTTACCCGAGAAGTGAAGTTCTTTTTCGAGGATGGTTACCCGAGAAGTGAAGTTTTTTTCGAGGGATGGTTACCGAGAAGTGAAGTTCTTTTTTCGAGGGATGGTTACCCGAGAAGTGAAGTTTTTTTCGAGGGATGGTTACCCGAGAAGTGAAGTTTTTTTCGAGGGATGGTTACCCGAGAAGTGAAGTTTTTTTCGAGGGATGTTACCCGAGAAGTGAAGTTTTTTTCGAGGGATGGTTACCCGAGAAGTGAAGTTTTTTTTCGAGGGATGTTACCCGAGAAGTGAAGTTTTTTTTTCGAGGGATGGTTACCCGAGAAGTGAAGTTTTTTTCGAGGATGGTTACCCGAGAAGTGGTGAGGATGGTTACCCGAGAAGTTTTCGAGGATGTTACCCGAGAAGTGTTTTTTTTTTCGAGGGATGGTTACCCGAGAAGTGAAGTTTTTTTTTCGAGGGATGGTTACCCGAGAAGTGAAGTTTTTTTCGAGGGATGGTTACCCGAGAAGTGAAGTTTTTTTCGAGGATGGTTACCCGAGAAGTGAAGTTTTTTTCGAGGGGATGGTTTCGACCCGAGAAGTGAAGTTTTTTTCGAGGGATGGTTACCCGAGAAGTGAAGTTTTTTTCGAGGGATGGTTACCCGAGAAGTGAAGTTCTTTTTCGAGGGATGGTTACCCGAGAAGTGAGTTTTTTTGGTTACCCGAGAGTGAAGTTTTTTTCGAGGGATGGTTACCGAGAAGTTGACGTTTTTTTTTTCGAGGGATGGTTACCCGAGAAGTGAAGTTTTTTTTTCGAGGGATGGTTACCCGAGAAGTTTTTTTCGAGGAGGTTACCCGAGAAGTGAAGTTTTTTTTTCGAGGGATGGTTACCCGAGAAGTGAAGTTTTTTTCGAGGGATGGTTACCCGAGAAGTGAAGTTTTTTTCGAGGGATGGTTACCCGAGAAGTGAAGTTTTTTTTCGAGAGGATGGTTACCGAGAAGTGAAGTTTTTTTCGAGGGATGGTTACCCGAGAAGTGAAGTTTTTTTTTCGAGGGATGGTTACCCGAGAAGTTTTTTTTTTCGAGGGATGGTTACCCGAGAAGTGAAGTTTTTTCGAGGGATGGTTACCCGAGAAGTGAAGTTTTTTTTCGAGGGATGGTTACCCGAGAAGTGAAGTTTTTTTCGAGGGATGGTGGCATGAAGTTTTTTTCGCCGAGAAGTGAAGTTTTTTTTCGAGGGATGGTTACCCGAGAAGTGAAGTTTTTTTTCGAGGGATGGTTACCCGAGAAGTGAAGTTTTTTTTCGAGGGATGGTTACCCGAGAAGTGAAGTTTTTTTTTCGAGGGATGGTTACCCGAGAAGTGAGTTTTTTTTTCGAGGATGGTTACCCGAGAAGTGAAGTTTTTTCGAGGGATGGTTTACCGAGAAGTGAAGTTTTTTTTCGAGGGATGGTTACCCCGAGAAAGTGAAGTTTTTTTCGAGGGATGGTTACCCGAGAAGTGAAGTTTTTTTTCGAGGGATGGTTACCCGAGAAGTGAAGTTTTTTTTTCGAGGGATGGTTTGAAGTTTTTTCGAGGGATGGTTACCCGAGAAGTGAAGTTTTTTTCGAGGATGGTTACCGAGAAGTGAAGTTTTTTTTCGACCCGAGAAGTGAAGTTCTTTTTCGAGGGATGGTTACCCGAGAAGTGAAGTTTTTTTTCGAGGGATGGTTACCCGAGAAGTGAAGTTTTTTTCGAGGGATGGTTAAGAAGTGAAGTTTTTTTCGAGGATGGTTACCGAGAAGTGAAGTTTTTTTTCGAGGGATGGTTACCCGAGAAGTGAAGTTTTTTTCGAGGGATGGTTACCCGAGAAGTGAAGTTTTTGTTGTTTTTTATTTTGATTTTGATTTTCGAGGGATGATTGCCTGTGAAGTGGTGTTTTTTTGTTGTTTTCTTTTTATTTTGATTATCGAGGAATTGCCTGTTTATTACACTATTATCATTCTCTTTTGTGATAATGGTACAAACAAGATGATAAAAATGAGAGATATGCAGATTTGTTAATCATTCTCGGAAGGATGGCGATGGTAACGGACTCCTCGCTCCCCTCAGCCGATCCAGGACCTGAGGGCCGTGACGGAGGAGATGGCGCGCTCGCCCTGGTCGGAAATGTCGCAGGAGATTCTCGCCAACACGGCCACGCAAGACGACTGGCGGTACATGAACGTAAGGCTCTTTGTTATACAGGATCGGTGAATGAACGGCTCTCTTGGTGAACGCACGAAGGGCTCTTTGGTGCACGGAAGGTAATGGTAAATTGAATGTTCTCTGGTGGTTGCAGAATTCTTTAGTGAAGGGAGGGTTTTTGGTGGAAGTTTGGTAAAAGTTTCTCTTGTGAAAAAAAATGGTTCTGACGACATATTAACCTAACCCTCTTTGTTGAACAGAAATCCCTGGTTAGTGCAAAGCCCTTTGATCGGCGTCGAGGCTCAGGCGATGTATGGATGCGTCTCTTAGGTGAACAAAAAGTTCTTTGGTGAACGAAGAGCTCTGGCGATACACGAAGAAGATCTATATACTTACATAGACGAGCGTGTGGCTATTGGGTAGTAACAGCGAATATTAGGGATAGTGACTGTGGCGTGGAAAGTGATGGTGAATGAGTCATGTCGATGGTCAGGTCTTTTATCCTTTCAACGACAAGGCAGACATGCTTTTTATATACTATCATATATTGAAAAGTGTTTGTTCAATGTCAGTGCCACCTTTCTACTTCCAAACCTCCTTTTGTTGCGCGAGTAAATAAATCTGTAAAGTAAATAATTGATTCTAAACAATATACATGAACAAATGTGCAAATAGGTATGATGTGGATATTCAGTGAATGTCTTAGTAATGATATACCTATAATTATCAAGACCTCATACGTAAATTATATGAACTCCACTGAAAAATATATATAAAAAATCCTCAATTTGGCATACCCGCAATTACATTAACACCACTGAAACACACACACACACACACACACACACACACACACACACACACACACACACACACACACACACACACACACACACACACACACACACACACACACACACACACACATATATATATATATATATATATATATATATATATATATATATATATATATATACATATATATATGGTGTGAACGCTGTTTGCGCATCGCAATGTGCATGTTTTTGGGCGGGAAAAAGAGGCGCGAAGGAGGGGGACACGAGGGGAAGCGGATGGAACGGACGCATGCACGGATGTGGTGCTGAAGAGACTGCATTTTTCAGCGCGAAGTGAGGAGTGTCACGCCTAGCTAGCCTCATGCCACCTTCCTAGTGCAGTCTTGCGTCGGCTACGTAGATGAGTGTTGAGTTTTAGTTATCAACAGCAGAAAGACGGTCATTGGAAGTGCTAGTGACCAGCACTGCCTTTGACTCTCGTAGTGGCGCCGTGGTGTATAGGGTGGAATAAAAGGAAAATAATGCCACGCTGTTGCAAGGAGGATTTGCAACAATATATTTATATAAAATCCTCAGTTGTGTTTTCTCTTTGTTATTTCACCTACACCCTTTCTTGTATTCCAGGTGAGTGACCACCTACATGATAGCACCTCCTTCGCGATCGAGAACCCCCACATGACCTTGCAACTGCAGACCCTCAACATTGCAACACAGTCCCACGTGACCCGACCCGCCGACCCGCATTATTATGAACCTCAAACCGCTTTTGTAAGTCAACAGAAAAGAAAAGAAAAAAATCCTTAATAAGAATGACAATTTGATTTTCTTTAATGGAATCTTTCATTATATTAAGATAAAAAATATGATTTGTTTTTAGGAGATTGCGGCCAAGATGAAGAGCCAGGAAGAAATTAAGGAGGAACTGGAGCCTTTAGGAGTGCTGTTCAACAGGCCCGTCACCTGCAAGGAAGTCAATATGGTGAACAAAATTTAGATATACATTTACATATACACACACATCTAGACAAACACACTCACACACACATAAACAAATACACTCATACAGACACATAGAAATTCATGTTAAAAAAAGAAACAAGTCCACAGTTTGCAAAATCTTGAAATAAGTGCGAGGCCAAAGACTCATCATCCGAACACTTCCAGGCCGCGTTCGAAAAGGCGTTCAGCTCACCAGTGGACGTCGTTCGGGATCGATTCACCGAACGCGGGAGGAATATTACTTTCTTCGAAGACGTAGTCGATGACTTCGCGACGTCTTGGCTCGCTTCTTCGCACAG